CGCATGGCTCATACCAATAATGATTTCTTTGTGACGTGGTGTGCGAATTGTGTGGTGAGATTGTCGCTGGCCAACAAACCTCCTCGTGTGCCTTACCGGCCGTCGTAGGCGCTACTCGCCAACAGCACTTGCCCCAACAGTCTGTTAAGGCGACTATTGCCCCAACAGTCTGTTAAGGCGACTATTGTCCCAACAGTCTGTCAAGGCGACAATTGGCCCATACCTCTCCACCCTGCTCACCGACCACAATCCAATAATCTGCTCGTCGCACCCAGAACGAGCACCGTCCTGGCTGAGCAACGTCTTGGTGGGCTCCACCAGCAGACGTCCGTCTGGAACTCTCTCCCACACTGCACGTACGCAGCAACAGCAGCATCCAAGCAACCACACACCCACCTTCAGACAGCATCTCAAGGTTCCTTACCCGTCCAGTCTCTCACCCGTCCAGGCTCTCAACCGTCCAGTCTCTCACCCGTCCAGTCTCTCACCCGTCCAGTCTCTCAACCGTCCAGTCTCTCACCCGTCCAGGCTCTCACCTGTTCATGCGATCAACTGTCCAGGATCTCACCTGTCTAGATTCTCATCTGTTCATGCGGTCACCTATCCAGCCCCTCACCTGTTCATGCAGTTACCTGTTTCGGCTCAGCCTCTCACCTGTCGAGGCTCTCACCAGAATATGTGGACGCTATAAATAGTGGTGTCATCTGGCTGTAGCATGGTGTGTGGTGTGACGTGGCTGTAGCATGGTGTGTGGTGTAACGTGGCTGTAGCATGGTATGTGGTGTATGTCACGTGGTGTCATATCGCTGTTGAATTAGGTCGGCGTTCTTCATTGCAAGGCCCGCGGGCCACTGGGGACCCCTGGGGGCCCCTGGTGGCCTTTAGTGTGGCCCCTGCCGTGCAGTGACCCACAGTACACAACAAATGTGAAAACACCGCTTATGCTGCTGCTGTCAAACCCTCAATGGTTTCAAATGTGTGGCGGCCCTCACACTGATGATGTCTTATAGGCGAAAAGTTCCCCCCCCACCTCTAAAAATTAGTGAAGAACACGAGATTAGGTAGGGTGTGTTCTGTGTGTGTGTGGTGGAGCTGTAGTATTGTGGGGTGTGTATGTTGTGGAGTGAGTCTGGTGTGGAGTGTGTACGGTGCGTGAATATACCTATTTGATGAGGTTGTGTGTGGGGTGGTGGAGCTGTAGGTGTGTGGTGTGTGTATGTATGGTGTGTGGTCAGGAGTGTGTGGTGTACGAGTGTGTGTGGTGTGTGATAGGGGGTGTACGAGTGTGTGGTGTGTGTATGGTGTGTGATAGGGGGTGTACGTGTGTATGGACCACTGGATGGGTTCCGCAAGATTGGAAAGATGCCCTGGTGGTCACTGGCGGAGCCAGTGGGGGGTGGGGTGGCACGTGCCCTCCCAATGATCCGATTTAAATCCCTAATTTCGATCGGATCATTGGGGTTTATTAGTAATAAATCGGCATTTTGCGACCCCCACTGCCACTGTGTAGCATATTATTACGTGCCAGGGACTCTATGAGATGATAGGACAATAGTCTGAGTCCATAATTGGCAATAAGTAGCGGCAAAGCAGTTATAAGTGACTCAGAATTGTCCGCAGTTGCGTATACAGTCCATGACTTCCCTGAAGGCCGATCACACAACGCGGTTCGAATTCGACCCTCGATCGATGGGGTTGCTCTCGTCCTGGCTCTGCCATTGCTGGTGGTCCTCCTCTTCAAGAAGTGGGACCGCACAGACTAACAACTACAGGGACATCTCACTCCTCGGTGTGCCGGGAAAGGTCCTGGCAAGGATTATTGAACATTGCCTTGCTAGGCACGCTAAGGAGAGGCTTGCGGAGCCCCAATGTGGTTTCAGGAAAGGGCGGTCCTGCACAGATGCTATATTTTCTGTCCTTCTGCTACAGCAGAGGTGTAGGAAATTCCAACAAGACCTCCATCTCTGCTTTATTGACCTGTTTAAGGCCTATGATACCATCAGTAGGCCTGGGCTGTGGGTTGTTCTTCGTGCTTTCAGAGTCCCTGACCCTCTGTTCACGATCATTAAGGACCTTCATGATGGTGAGCGGGCCCGGGTAAAACTACGTGGCCGGGAGTCGGAGCCATTCCCTGTTCACCTTGGGGTGCGACAGGGATGTCCTCTGGCTCCCACATTATTTAACATCTATTTCGGCAATGTAGTTCGTGAAGCCTTCGATTGCTGTATCATCTGGTACAGATACAATGGCAGGCTGATCGATGTCCGGGTGCGGCCAAGGGATGGCTCCCTATTGGTCAACCATGTTATGTATACAGATGATTTGGTAATCGCTGCTCACTCAGAGGAGTTGGAGGTGCTGCTGCTGAACCTGGAACTTGCAACTAAGAGGTGGGGCTTTACCATCAGCACTTGCCTGGATATTTTGTACTATCAGACACTCCACCCCACAACTCCCAATTGGTGATGGGACAATTGTGGAGAGAGTGGAGAGTTTCCCATACCTGGGCAGTGTGCTCATGACCGGCTCCAGTTTGACAGCAAAGGTCTCACTCCGAATCAGTCGAGCGGCATTATCTTTTTATCGGTTGCATAACGCTGTGTTGAAGCTACCTGGTCTGTCGCTCCGCACAAAGCTTCAGGTCTTCTCGGCTACGGTTATGCCCTCCCTTCTCTCTGCTTGCGAAACGTGGATCCCCCTAATGGAACATTTTCGCTGGTTAGAAACATTTAGGCTAGCCTGCCTACGATCCATCCTGGGTTTAACCAAGCTGGATTGTGAGGAGCTCACAAATCCTTGAAAGATCTGCACAAAGTCCCATTAGTGAGCTCCTCCGGCAGGCAAGGTTGCGTTGGCTGGGTGATGTAGCCCGCATGCCCAGCCACGGCATGCCTAAACAGCTTTAGTTCGGCCGGATCGAGGGGGTTAAACGGGTGCGGCACGGGCTAGAGAAGAGATGGAGTGATGTGGTACAGGAGGATGTGGAGCTGAGTGAACTTGCCGATGACTGGTACCAGCGGTGTCAAGATCAGCCTCTGTGGAGTGGAGGAGGCTCGTGAAGGACGCTACTGGGCAGTTGGAAGCAGTCGCCCTCCAACAACAACGGAGGGCGGAGGAGTGATGCTCACAACAATGAGCGGAGCGCCAGATGGCTAAAGCACAGCAAGTTGGCACAGTAGGGGGCATAGGTGGTGCATAGGTGGTGCATCAGCCAGTCATCTCAGTCAGTCGACCCGTGGCACCTGGGTCTGCCCCGTGACCTCCTGCCAGCGGGCGTTCGACACTTCACGTGGCCTCAAGGTGCACATGGCCTGGCACAAGCGTCGTGGTGACGTCACCGCCACTTAGTGGCGAATGGCGGTTGTTATTGTTGTACAAGTGTGTGGTGTGTATGTGTGTGTGGTAGGGGGTGTTTGGTGTGTGTGTGTGTGTGTGGTGTAGTGGGGGGTGTACAAGTGTGTGGTGTGTGTGTGTGGTGTGTGTGAGGTGTGTGATAGGGGGTGTGTGGTGTGTGTGTGTGTGGTGTAGTGGGGGGTGTACAAGTGTGTGGTGTGTGTGAGGTGTGTGTGAGGTGTGTGATAGGGGGTGTGTGGTGTGTGTGAGGTGTTTGTGAGGTGTATGATAGGGGGTGTGTGGTATGCCACACCTCAGGCAGGTGTCGCGAGCTGGTGCGAGCGTGCCAGGAGATGAGTCATGCCACGTGACCGTTAATTGGTTTAATTAGGCGTGAGCGCACACGTTAAAAAGGAGGCTTTAACATCGGTGAAATATTACAAATATTCTCGAAAAACAAAGTGAAAATATACCTTATATATAGTTAGCATTGTTATTGCTGAAATCATCATGCCAACACTGCATGACACAAACACACAGGAGACGTGCCAGACACACCCTCCAACACACACGGACACAATACAGTATATTAACTCCAAAGGGACAAAGATCCTCCATATGAGCCTAACAGTGGCCATGGTAGGACAATTGCTGTTAGCGAGCACCTCTTAAGGCCGGAAACGACAAATGAGGGCGTGGTGTGGCCAAAAACCATGCCCCGACCGCTTTTGTCTTCCCAGTGCTGTTTACACACCGCACCAGGCACTGCTCAGTTAAAGCCAAGTCAACTTAGCGGAGGACCCCAGGACCGACCGGGGTTTATATATTCGCCACCAACGTTAGCCGTGGCCTGGAATCGAACTCGGGTCCTGGGTTTGCAGCGCAGTGTGATAGCCGCTTGTGCCACCGCTCTCTCGTACACCCCGACAAAGATAAAGAATCCCCCTACACATATATAGCCATAACAGATTGTTGGGGGCAAGTGCTGTTAGCGAGTAGCAGCATCTATAACACGTACATACATACATGCATTGTCCAACACAACAACAACCAGTGCCGGATTATCCTATTAGCAAAAGTAACATATGCTATGGGCCCCGCACTTTCAAGGGACCCACGCTAAATGCTTTCAAGCAATCAATTCCGGTTCAGTGATTCTGCACTTGCTCTATTACTATAGTACTATATTGCCTTCAACGTTTATGAACGGCTGGGTGTTTAACTTTAGCGATTTGTCGTATTATCTGGCTGTATAGCAAATGAAAAAGATACAATTACTTTACTGCAAAAGTAAAAAAATTGTGTTTTAGTATTTACGTGTTTTTTTTACTTAGGGCCCCTTTATAACATATGCTACAGGCCCCGCACTAGCTTAGTCCGGCACTGACAACAACAACCGCCATTCACCACTAAGTGGCGGTGACGTCACCACGGCACTTGTGCCAGGCTATGTGCACGTTAAGGCCAACACAGACATACACACACCTACATATAACTTGGTGGTCATCCCAATGGAAGCCATGCTGGTGGTCAGGACATTGGTGGTCATTTTGTTGATGACAGCTTTTTTTTCAGGGGTTGCCACCCTGGACAGTCTGGGAATTGGCAGCTGTGTTTCTGGTGGTGGTGGCAGCAGCAGGAACTGATTTGCCCGAGATCTGCTACCGCTACCGTGTTTAACTTTATTGCAGTAAACCGCGCGCGGCTTCGATAACAGATCTAGTGCCAACCCGAGAAATGCGTCAGGGTTTTGGTCTCCAGTGGGAAACGTCGCAATCCTCTGGCGGTGGCGTGTTGGTGGTCGTGGACGTACTCTGCGAGTGACTGTTCTACTCGTGGCCACGCTGTTGGTGGTAGCCATGCTGGTGGTGGTAGCCATGCTGGTGGTGGTAGCCACGCTGGTGGCCATGCTGGTGGCCACGCTAGTGGTGGTACCCACACTGGTGGCCATGCTGCTGGTGGTGGCTACACTGCTGGTGGTGGCCACACATGCCGGTGGCCTTGGTGGTGATGATGGTGGTGTTGTTGGTGGTGGCCTTGTTGGTGATCACGATCCTACTGTTGTTCTTGTTGGTGGTTGCGGCCACGCTGGTGGTTATCCTGCTGTTGTTGATGGCGGCTGTGTTGATGGCAGTCGTGTTGGTGTTCACGCAGCGACCGATGGCATTGGTAGTGGCCGTACTGTCGGCCACGCGGTTGTTAGTGCTGCTCGGAGCCATGCTGGTGGCCATACCAGTGGCCTCACTAGCGGTGTTGTTGTTGGTGGCCATGTTGATGGTCATGCTGATATTGTTGCTGCTGATGGCGTCCATGTTGGTGATAATCCTCTGCTGTTGTTACTGCTGATGGCACCCGCTGTTGGTGGTAAAACTACGACTGATGTTGTTGGTCGCCAAACTGGTGGTCAAACTGGTGGATACACGGCTGTTGCTGCCAGTGGTGGCCACACCGGTGGCCTTGCTGATGGTGTTGTCAGTGGCCATACTGGTGGCCATGTTGCTGATCATGGCCGCCATGCTGATAGTCACCCTGCTGCTGCTGCTGCTGATGGTGGTGGTGGTGGTGGTGATGGGCGTGGGGCGCGGTGGCCATCATGTCGGGGGTTACACGGGCCCACACGCCCGTCACGAGCCCTTCCACGCCGCACTCGTTGCGCCCGCGCGCCACGCGCACAAACCCCTCCTCGCCCCACCACGGCCCCCACGAGTTGGCGCAGATCTGGGCACACGGAAGAGACGAGGGCGGAGGAGTGCCCCACCGTAGATTTAGCCTCGATCGTTGGGTATCCACGGTGGCGCAATGTTAACTACCTCTCCTGGCATACAGGACGTTGTGGGTTTGATCCCAAACCTGACACCTGGATATTTGGAGTTTGCATGTTCTCCCCTTGGTTACGTGGATTTTTCTCCGTGTCTTCCGGTTTTTCCCTCCACATTTAGAATCAACATCACGCGTTTAGAGTATTTGGCTGCTATAAATTTCTACACGATAAGCCACTTCGTTGAGCTATCATTTGTGGCCACGTCGCTTCTGAAAAAGAGCTACATAGGTCAGTAGGCCTTTCTTGGTAAAATACGAATAGTTTATAGTTTAGATTATTTATTTAGAACTGCTTTTTGTGTTTAGTTTGTTGTCCTTAGCCCTACTCCTCCGATTAGCACAGCTGACTATGTACGGTGCGTTAGAAGTTCAACGTACCCATTTAGATTAACAAGTAAACGACGTGACCCAGCGGTAGCGCTTTTGTCACTTGTTGCAGACGTTCGCAGTTCGGATCCAGCAGGCCACCCTGGTCAATACTGCGTTTGTGCACTGGCCGTAAAAAAATACGATGCAGCGGTCTTGAAACGTCCCACCGTGTGACGTCGTTAGGAACGAATTGGCCAAATTTTCCATACTTGAAAAACCATACCGCAAAATACTCAATCGGGATTATGCAGCGGCAATCATGCCCCCCCCCCCCCGCCCCTTACTGGCAGACTAACAGCCACTTGCAGGCCAGGTGCCGAGTCACCGTGCGTCACACATGGGACACCTGCCACTGGAAAGTGCCCGAATGCGTTGTGTTTTTTCTCTCTTGTGAATTGTGCTCGTGTACCAACCGCCAACGCAACAGCAGCACCAATTGATTTCATAACAGAGGTTTTTTTTGGGTTAGATCACGTAAATGTATAAATGTGTCGTTAAAACCCAACATCACCTGACACAGCCATCTAGTAAGGGTTGTCACGTAAACAGAATATGCCAGTTGGTCACTAGTACAGCACACCAGTGTGTTGGAGAGCTAAGCCACAACATTTACAATCTGAGTACGACGTTTCGCCAGTAATTACAACTAGCTTCATCAGGCGACAGCCAGATTTGTGGAGAAGTCCTCCACCTGTTTCGTTCCTTATATAGAGGCGTAGATGTGGTGACCACGCATCTGCGCTCTAGCGCAAAGTAAGGGGGAGGGGATTAATGAGGCAACTACATTACGCATGCGCATTATGCGAACCCATTGATCTTGTCCTTCCTGTCCATTGTGTGTATTAAAATAGCCACCAACGGTAATCCCTATTGAAGTATGGTGGCCTGTATAGGCATGCATTTAAACAATGTATTATTTGATGGTTCGCTTCCACGCAGCACTAAATCGGTAGCTATCCGAACGGTTAAAATTATTTTTATTTCTTTCAATTTCGATAGATAATACAATAAGTTTTGGCCAATAGTAGCTTGTTTTTCACAAAACTTATCAAAATAAATTGTCCTTGTTGGCACGTGTGTTCTGCTACTTATTTTCAACCTGTCCATCAAAGAAGCATCAGTTCCTCTAGAATGGAAACATTCCTATGTCTGTCCACTTCACAAAGGGGGCCCTAAAGATGATCCAAATAACTACCGACCTATCTCAATTTTGTCCCCGTTGATGAAAATTTTTGAAAAAGTATTGACCTACCAAATTAGCAGTTTCCTGTCCACCAACAATCTACTACATCTTAAACAATCCTATGTCCATCCACTTCACAAAGGGGGCCCTAAAGATGATCCAAATAACTACCGACCTATCTCAATTTTGTCCCCGATGATGACATTTTTTTTTTAATTATTGACCTACCAAATTAGCAGTTTCCTGTCCACCAACAATCTACTAAATCTAAAACAATCTGGGTTCCGAAAAAAATACACCACTACATCTGCTGCATTAGACTCTCTGAATCACATTTACAGTAGCCTTGACAATAAGCAGTACTGTGCCTGTCTTTTTCTAGACCTGTCCAAAGCTTTTGATACAGAAGACCACAACACCCTGCTTAGTAAACTAAGTTGCCTCGGTTTTTCCGAAAACGCAGTAAAATGGTTACAAAATTACCTCTTTTCTCGCACCCAAACTGTATTAACAGATGGTTGGAGGTCAAACAGTGTTAACAAAAGGGGTTCCACAGGGTTCCATCCTCGGCCCCCTTTTGTTCTCTTTATGTCAATGACTTGGGCACTGACCTGGATCATTCCAGGGTAAATCTTTTTGCAGATGACACGATACTGATTACTGCTGGTTGCTCTCCGGATGACGTGATTGCTAAGCTACAGGGTGATTTCAACAAACTACAACATCAGCTAGTTGCTATTAAACTAGTCCTGAATACCTCCAAAACCAAGGTGCTATGCTTCTCACCAGGACTAAAGCAGGAAGTTATTTTTCCCCAATTACATTCCTTAAATAATTATCAAATAGAGCAAGTCAAGATCTATAAGTATCTTGGGGTCATCCTGGATTCAAAACTGAATTTTGAAGATCACATTGATTATATTGGTAAAAAGACAAAAATAAAAATTGTTTTTCTGTATCAACACAAGCACTGCTTCCCCCCAATGTTCCGTTTGGAATTGATAAAAGCTACCATACTGCCTCTACTTGACTACTGTGATATCGTGTATAAATCAGCCCCAAGTACTGTACTGAAGAAGCTTGATTCCATCTATCACTCGGCCTTAATATTTACATTGAACTGCCCATATAGGACTCACCACTGTGATCTCTACATTGGGTTAAACTTAACATCTCTTAATGTTCGACGGCTTGTGCACCAGATCTTATTTATTCACGATGTACTTACAAAAAATCCGCAGACTACCTGCTGGATCTCCTCTCTGTTTCAAAGAACAAATTTGACCTCAGGTCTTCGCTCATTTACCAGCTTCACATTCCCTATTGCCGTACAAAAACTGGAGGAAGGGCCTTTGCTATTGATGCCCCCAGGGTCTGGAATGCTATTGCCAATAAACTGCAACTTGAATCGCTACCAATGAGATCTTCTCTCAAAACTGCTCTAGAGGAGTTGTACACCCCTAGCTGCCACTGCTATTCATTGGCGTAAAATAAAATAAAATGTTTCGCTCCGGATGACCGCTGCAAAGTATTATCTGTATTTTGATTTAGCGTGCTGATCTTAAAGGTGCATTGAAAAATTTGATACTCCGACTGATGCTTCTGTTGTTGTGGAGTAACTCATGCAGCCAACTATGGCTCTCTAGGATTTGGTGTGACATGATATTTAGGTAGTTTATTGTAAAAATTCGGTCACAGTCCCTGTGATCACTGTTATGTTGCAATTATGGTTTTATTTTTTGGCGATTTCTAAAACGTTTTTGGTTTGGACATGTTTGTTTTGTTGTAGTACGGAGTTAGACTGATGGCCTTAATCTAAGTTTTCTTGTGGTTGTTGTTTGACTTGCATCCCGCTGGGATTTTTTGCACACAGTGTTGGTGTACGGTGCTTTTTTTTCAGGAATATTTTGCTGTTTTTTTTCATGGATTTTCTGTTTGCAGTCACACATAGTCACTTTAAGATGTTGTTCTTGTTCGTGTTTTTGTTTTTTTTGTTTGTTGTGGTTGCACCCGATTCAAGAGCCGAATGGGCTCACGGGGCTATACCGAAATAAATAAACTGAAAAACTGAACACTGAAATACTGCTGACAGTTGAATTGTTGGAATAAAACTAAAATAACAAAAAACAGTTGACAGATACGGAGGTTTCCGTCGCTAATTTTGGGAGGTAAATTAGCGCGACAGTGACTGGTGCGGGGGACATCATCGGGGGCGCGTCATCGTCACATCCACTCACCCAGTACTTGGTGTCGTTTCCGTGCGGAGTCCGTTCCGTGCCCCACCTGCGACCGAGAAGGCGGGAGGGAGACGCCAGTCATGGAGATGCCGGTCATCATTACGCTTCTATAAACTATTAAATGCTTTATTTTACCAGGTAAGGCCCCACTGAGCTATACATGGCTCTTTTTCAGAAGCGACCTGGCTATCACAAATGATAGCTCAACGAAGTGGCTTATCATCACGGGGAAATTTGTAGTAGCAAAATACTCTAAGACGCGTGATGTCGATTGCAAACGTGGAGAGGAAAAACCAGAGGAGCCGGAGAAAATCCACCCAACCACGGAGAGGGACACGCAAACTTCAAATATATAGGCGTCGGGATCGAACCCATGACCCCCTGGATACAAGGCTAGGTAGTTAACATCTCGCTACCGTGGCGCCCCAATTAATTTGTTCACGAGCGTTTGTCGCTTAGTGTGGGACTTGAACAGAGTGCCCGGAGAAACCCCGCGCATACGAGTGGAGAGCCTTGAATGCCGTTAAAGGGTGCGCGACAGGAACCACCTTTCTGGGTCAGAAATCGATTTGCTGTACTGCACTGCCCCCTACAGGCGCCGCCTTGGTAGTCAGTGGTGGATGTCCCGAAAAGCACGATCATCATTGGGAGTCTGGCCTGACAAGTGGCTTTGCAAGTCTCCCATGCCCCTCCGAGTCCACCAACCCCAGCTGGTGATGTGTATGACAGTGATGATGGCAAAGGTGGCGAAGGTGGTGGTGGTGCCGGTGATATTACCGGTGAGGTTGATGATGGTAGTGATGCTGCCAGTGATGGTGCCATTGATGGTGATGATGGCGATAATGTTGATGATGGTGGTGATGCTAGTGATAGTGATGATGGTGGTGATGTTAATAATGCTGGGGACGGAGCCAGTGATGATGATGAAGTTGGTGGTGGCGGTTGTGATGGTGCCCATGATGGTGATAATGTTGATGATGATGGTGATGATGTTGATAATGGTGGTGATGGTGCGGGTGATGATGCTGATGACGCTTGTGATGAAGCCGGTGGTGATGATAATGAAGTTGGTGGTGATGGTGCCGGTTATGATGTTGATGATGGTGGTCATGGTGCCGGTGGTGATGTTGATGATGGTGTTGATGGTGTTGATGATGTTGATGTTGGTTGTGATGAAGCCGGTGATGATTATGATGAAGTTGGTGGTGATGGTACCGGTTGTGATGGTGACCGTGTTGTTGAGGATGATAATAGTGCTGATGATGGTGGTGCTGGTGATGATGGTGATGATGGTTCCACGCACCCGACGATGCGCACGGAGTGCATCCCGTGACGCCGGTAGTGCGGCGGATCCAAGGCCGCCGCGTCCGTGTGCGAGTACACGCCCCGCGAGTACACAAACAGGTCCTCGTGTATCTCCATCAGCGCTGGTATCACGCAGAGGAGACACGCAACACATAGATAGAGACAAGGCACAACCAGGGATACACTACACAGACATTAAACAGCAACATATGTACGTGTGTAGCCAACCGTGCTAATTCGGAGGTGCAGGGGAAACAACAAACTGAACACAAAAAGCAGCAACACAGATAAAGAACACAGAGACAAACAGGGATTGCACAAACGTGGTCACATGTCGCGACGAACACACACAAACTCACAGAGACAAAAATCCCCCATATAGCCTTAATAAACTGTTGGGGCAAGTGCTGTTAGCGAGCACCTATGAAGGCCGGCATGGCACACGAGGGGGTGGGTGGCCAGCACCACGCTCGCCCGCCTTTGTCTCCCCAGTGGCGATGTTTACTGCACACCGCAACAGGTATTAATTTGAGGCTGAGTCGACCTAGGGGAGGCTCAGGACCGGTTTAGATATTTGTCACCGGTGTTGGTGGCCGTGAGCGGGAATCGAACTCGGGTGGCCGGGTTTGTATCGCAGTGCGCTAACCGCTACACTACCGCTCCCCACACACAAATGCAGACAGACACCTCCTCCTCGTCACTCACCTTGCACTGGGCCGTTCATCATGATCTCCTTCATGATGGCCATCTCCTACATGCGCACACACACACACACACCAAGGAGTGCCGGTGCGATGAGTCGTCTGGTGACTTGCGTAGTACTGTGGTGTGTTATAGCGCAGTGGTGTGTGGCGAGTGGCGCGGTGTGACTCACGTGGCACAGTGCGGTGATGCGTGGTAGTGAGTGGCTGTGGAACAGTGTGGCGAGTGGCGCAGTGCAATGCGGTCTGATGAAGTCCATTTGGGGTGTGGGACGGTTCAGTGTGGCGCGGTGCGGTTCTCACATAAGCTCTGATTATTGTTCGGGCGACCGCACTGGAAGATGCAGTTGTGGTGTGACGTGATGCATTGTTAGTGTGGTGCGGTGCGATGTGATGCAGTGCGGTGCTCACATCCGTGCCGATGCGGTACGGTGGACCGCACTGGAAGATGTGATTGTGGTGTGACGTGGTGCGTTGTCAGTGAAGTGCAGTGGTTCTCAACTTTTTCGGACTTCCTGTGTGTTACCCCCCTTGTTGAATTTGTTTAAACCGAGTTATACCCCCCTTGCCTGACCCAACATGGTTCTGAGAAATAAATGTATGATGAGAATTCATATTTTAACCAAATGTTCTATTTTTTGAGGCATCCTTACTCGCTCGTAACTGCAAGCGAAAAAAAAAATCAACGGACGCTCTGCACGCATGACATCATTTGTTCACGCTCACCGGTTACTCTTGGAAACCACACTGTTTACGATTGTTGAATCTAGAAAGGTCTTCTGTATTGTTCTAGGTTACCATGTGGCTTTACATTTTGTCGTAGTTATTTTACATTGGCAGATTCATACGTGAGTTTCCACTGACTCATTTCTGATATAATTCGACACATTTATGAATACTCTTTGGTGCTTTCGGTAAAGTCATGAGGGTAGAAAATAAATTAAAACCAAAAATAATCAATCACGACGTTTCGATCTCAACACAAGCGGTCGTCCTCTGGCGGGAAAAAAATAATCCAGCAGTGGAACTGCTGAAACAGCGAGAGAGATGTTTATAAATAACCTCACGTAATCCCTGGGATATTGCCACATACCCCCAGGGGTCCGCGTACCCCCAGTTGAGAACCACTGGTGTAGTGTGGTGCCGTGCGGTGTGATGCCGTGTGGTGCGGTCCTCACGTCCGTGGCGATGCGGTACGGCGGACCGCACTGGAAGATGCGGTTGTCGTTGGCGCTGGGGTTGGGGCACGGGCGCGTGGCCTCGCGACGACCCCGGCCTGACCTCCGGCTTCCCATCATGCACTGCAGCTGTTGGTCTCCCCCCCCAAGTGGGTAGCACTCGTCCGTCACAACCCTGCACACACCACACACAGCATCATGGTTCATCACACCATACCACACGTCACACACGATGTTTAATCAATGCAGTATTCACCTAATTATAACGGTGTCCTTAATTTATTCGGGAAATCCCGCATCTCAAGACCTTTTTACGGGAGAGCCCTGCCACATTGAGATGTTTGGCCATGGAATTTGACGAACTGCGCGTTTGTCTCAGTGTGGGAGGAAAGCGGAATTCTTCATGAACTGAATTCAGTTCCTGAAGAAGCTCGCGGCGCGAAACGTCGAACGTCACACAACACAACCCGAACACACACACACGTGTACACATGCACAAACAAACACACACACCCAAAAAACAAAGACAAAGATTCCCCCGTGTAGCCTTAAACAGACTGTTGGGGCAAGCGCTGTTAGCGAGCACCAATGAAGGCCGGCAAAGTGCACGAGGGGGTGGGTGGCCAGCACCACGCCCGGCCGCCTTTGTCTCCCCAAGTGACGATGTTTGCAAGGGCAAAGACGCACACCCACACTGGAAATAAATGAAGGAGGTGGTGGGAGGGTGGGACTCACCCAGCGTGGCGCAGGTACCACCAGGCACGGTCCAGCCTCCCGTCACGGCAACCCCCGGCGGCCCCCTGAGCGGGCCTCCAACCCGGGTGCGAGCCCTGGGGGTCGCAGGACAGCAGCTGCTGCGGGGAGAGGCCGTGACGCACGCGGCCCAGGGTCTGGATGGAGAGGCGGTCCGAGGCCACGGCTGCACGGGCGGGAGAGGCACACACGTGCGTTACGCACGCATTACGTTCGTGTCGTCGTTCACGATACTTCCACGTTACGTCTGGTGAGGTTCGCGTTACGTTCGTGTTACGTTCGGTTACGTTCGTGTTATGTTCTCTTTACGCTCTCGTTACGTCCACGTTACGTTCGCGCTACGTTCGCAGTACATTCGCGTTGGGTTGGTGAATGATTCAACACAGCGGTCACTCGCTCGCTGGTGGTCCCTTTGACCCGCCTAGCCGTGTTCGCCGGGTTTAAAAGACGCTCCGGAAAGTGAAACACACCGCCCCCGAACGTTGGAGTAATTTTTTTGTTTTTGAACGTTGTGTTTAGAAATAAGGGCATTGCGGCATTGCAAGTGGAGAGCTACCGTCTTCCAGAAGACGATCATGAACGCGATGCGTGTTACCCGCGCGTTAACCGCATGTCAAGCACGCCACACACAAAGCATGTTACCCGCATGTCACACACATGCTACACACACGCGTGTTACCCGCATGTTACACACATGCCACACACACGCGTGTTACCCGCGGTGGAAAAGGCCCATGACGCGGCGCAGTTGCCCTGGTCTTCGGGCGCGTGGATGAGGCCAGGCCACCTGACCCGGGAGTCAAACTCATCCGGCAAGAAATCACCGTCTCGCATGGGCACCTGCGCAGTCCCATGCAACACGACACGATGGTACAAATTTAAACGGCACAAACTGACGTACACGCTGTACCAGGTACTCATTTAAGGCCGAGCCGACCTAAGGGAGGTCCAGGACCGGTTCAGATATCCGCCACTGTTGTTGGTCATGAGACGGAATCGAAGTCGGGTCGTCTGGTTCGTAGCGCAGCACTGCACAACCGCTCCCCATAAGACACGCAAAGACAAAGCTGTCCCGTACAGTCTTAACAGACTGTTTAGGAAAGTGCTGTTAGCGAGCACCAATGAAGGCTAGCACGGCACATGAGGGGGTGGGTGGCCGGCACCACGCCTGGCCGCCTCTGTCCCCCCAGTAGTGATGTTCACACATTGCACCAAGGTACTCATTTGAGGCTGATGATTATATCTGGACCAGCCCAGATAAACATCACCAGTTTCGGTGGTCGTGAGCGGGAATCGAACTCGGGTCGCCGGGTTCGTAGAGCAGAGCGCCAACCACTACACTATGCCCGCACACGCACACACAAACACGAACATGAACACACCCACACCACTTACACATGCGCAAGGACGGTGACGTGGTCCGGCAATGGCACATTCGCCGCTCGTCGCAGAGGCTCGTGGTTGGAACCCTGCGGCCGACTCGTTTACCGCTGCGGGCGTATCGACCGTGAAAATACTGCGTGCCGTCCGCCTCACAATGAACGTATCCCATAACGTCACTCACAGGCCATTGTGAAACTGCGTCATTATCCAAATTTGCCACATTTTTTTTTTTATCCCAGCGATAGGCCGTGTAAATAAGAATGTACGTGACCCGTAACGCCGGGCAGTGTGTGTATCGGTTTTTATTTTTCATTCCGATATTAGGAAGCCACTGGAGCGATGCACTTTTTAATCATTTAAATAAAAAACTAATTTCTTTAGAACTTTTTGTGTTTAGTTTGTCGTCCTTCCGCCACACCTCCGATTAGCATGGTTGCCTACGGTGCGAAAGATGTTCAATGTACAAACATACATCGTTGGAATGTACCGTGTGTCGGAAATGTGAATAAATAAATGTAAAAAGAATGACACCGCAAACTGCTCAATTGGGATTATACGCAGAACAATTAACCCCGTCCCCACCACCACTGCAAAAACGTGGCAGGACCCTTCTGAAAATAGAGTCACGAGCCTCGGTGAATCTTTTGTGCGTGAACAAGCGTAAATCAAACAACACGCACACATACACACTGCGTTCCTGTGGCATAGGATGACCCTGACATTCACACGAGGTTCTGTGACTCGAAAAAAATATACATCACAGCATCATTTATTTACACACGAGAGTGGCCCCGTGAGATTCACAGTTCACATCACACGGGTGACCTCGGGTCTCCCCGTTGGGGGCACTGGCATCGTCATAGCTGCGCCGTGCGTCAACTTTTGCCGTCGTAATTTTAAAAATGCTCGTGCGCAGCAGTAGCGGCGGCACAACGATGCCTTGTAAGGACTTGCAGATTTATTTTTTTTACAGTCCATGCCCGTGACCATTTATGTACAGCAGCGGTAAATGTGGCAACAGATTGCCGTTGTGTGATGAAGACACTGGTTTGCCCGACACAAAAACGTGGGTTTCACCCTTTCTAGGTGTCATCGGAACTGCAACAAACTAAATTATTTACCAGGTAAGGCCCACCTAGCTACGTAGCTCTTTTTCAGAAACGACCTGGCTACAAATGATAGCTCAACGAAGTGGCTTATCGCGTGGAAATTTATAGCGGCCGAATACTCTCAAAGCATGTTTGTAAAATGTGCAGTGAAAAACTGGAGGACACGACCCAGAGAAATATCCACACCACCACGGAGAGACCATGCAAACTCCAAATATACAGGTGTTAAGGGTCGGGATCGAACCCACAACCTCCTATATACCAGGCGAGGGAGTTTACACCTCGTCACTGTGGCGCCCAGCCAAGTACCTCACTGCCAAGGTGTGCACAAGGGCTGCTTGGGTCAGACCTCATTTCTTTAGAACTTCTTTTTGTGTTTAGTTTGTCGTCCTTCCCCCACACCTCCGATTAGTATGGTTGCCTACGTACGGTGCGAAAGATGTTCAATGTACAAACATACATCGTTGGAATGTACCGTGTGTCGGAAATGTGAATAAATAAATGTAAAAAGAATGACACCGCAAACTGCTCAATTGGGATTATACGCAGAACAATTGACCCCGTCCCCACCACCACTGCAAAAACGTGGCAGGACCCTTCTGAAAATAGAGTCACGAGCCTCGGTGAATCTTTTGTGCGTGAACAAGCGTAAATCAAACAACACGCACACATACACAGTGCGTTCCTATGGCATTGGATGACCCTGACAGAGTGAGCAGTAATTACCAGATAATTGGCATATATAACACGGTTGACCAATAAGCATCCATTCCTTGACGACACCTAGGCAGGCATCTATCGGTCTCCAATTGCATCTGTGTCAGATAGAAATTCCTCTTTGTACATCCATGAAAATCTTAAGCTACGTGGTCAAAAAATATGTGATATAGTGTGGGGGCCAAAGGACATCCCTCTCACACCCTAAGGTGAATGGAAAATGGCTCTGACTCCCGGCCACGTAGAATACGCAAACACACATACAGATACATACCCAGGCCACTTGTATACACAAAGAAAGACAAAGACCCCCCATATAAGCATAATAGACTTTTGGGGCAAGTGCTGTTAGCGAGCACCTATGAAGGCCGGCACGGCACACGAGGGGATGGGTGGCCAGCACCACGCCCGACCGACTTTGTCTCCCGAGCGGCGATGATTATACGCCGCACCAGGCTGAGTCGACCTAGGGGAGGCCCAGCACCGGTTCATATATTCACCACTGTTATTGGTCGTGAGCGGGAAATGAACTCGGGTGGCCAGGTATGTAGGGCAGTGTGCTAACCGCTACACTACTGCTCCCCACATTACATATACACACACACACCAACAGACAAATTCATACACGGGCGCGTGTGTATTCGTGTAGGCACGTGCGTATTCGTGTAGTCGCGTGCGTATTCGTGTAGGCACGTACATGCACAGAGGTCATGGCCAGCACGGCGGGGTCAGGCTGGGCAGTGCCCAGGCGGGTGGACATGCCGTCCTCCAGGGACATGCCCCAGAACGAGGTGTAGTTGGAGGCTGTCCACCTGTAAGGGGTGACAGGCAGGGCGAGGGTTTATGGGTTAGGGCAGGGGGACGGCAACCGAAATAACAAGAAAAGATGTTTTTTTCGAATTCAATAATTAAAGTGCCGCAACGCGTTTGAGTACGAGACGATGGTCCCTTAATGAATAACGTCACGAAGCTGTCCTTGAAGAGCCACCGACCCCTGGGTAAGGGGTTAGAGTTGAGGTCAAGCTTAGAGTTAGGTTTAGTGTCAGGGATAGAGTAGGAGATGGGTTCGCGCTTACGATTAGCAGGGTTGGCTACGTACGGTGTGAAAGAAGTTCAACATACACAGGTGGCTGCACTTGCGTTCAATTTCGATTTAGGGTTATAAACACATTCCTGCGGAGGGAGCTGGTAGGAACGTTGGCTGCTCGGTCAGTGGCCAGGGTCAACGGCGGCACCACCACGTGGTGTATTCCGCAAATATGCCCGACTGTGAGGGCGGGTACAAGCCGGCGTGAGTAGGTTAAACGTTGAGTTTTATAAGGGCACCACGGGGTGACCAGCCCCTCCCAACCCAGCCCCACCCAACCCAGCCCCACCCCTCCCACCCCCCACCCAGCCCCACCCAAGCCCTCCCCACCCTCCCCTCCCCACCCAGCCCCTCCCCACCCAGCCCCTCCCTACCCTCCCCTCTCCACCCAGCCCCACCCTTCTCATTTTTTTTTTATCCGAATGTCTGGATACACGTGGACAGACATCCACAGACATACACAATTAATCCCCTGCCTCCTGTGAGAATTAATCCCGGTTGGGCTTCCAGTCCACTATATTTCCTACCAGTAATGCCCACTAGGAGCGCATTTGTTATATATCCGGGTGTCCGGATACACGTGGACAGACATCCACAGACATACACAATTAATCCCCTGCCTCCTGTGAGAATTAATCCCGGTTGGGCTTCCAGTCCACTAAGTTTCCTACCAGTATTAGTCAGAGATAGGGGTTAGAGTTAGAGCCGTGGTTAGCGTTCGAGCCAGGTTTGGGGTTACAGTTGGGGTTAAGGCTAGAATTAGGATTGGTGTTTTGGATGAGTTGGAGTTACAGTTAGGGTTAGGCTTTGGGTTAGATATAGAGTTGGGATGAGAGTCGGGGATTGCGTTAGCGTTAGCAAGGCGCGGTCCGTCCACGAAGGGCATTGGGCCGCTGCTCCACTAAGCAGCTGGAGATGAGAAATTATATTTCTAATTAAAAATACTTTTTCCATTAATTGTTTTGTTGCGTTAACAAGATATATGATTCTTTCAACGTGAATTGCCTAATGAAGATAACATTTAAAGTTGTTCACATTAGAAACCACTGCAACAGTCTGATTCGTGCCTCCGGGAGGTCTTGGTGCAGCTGTGAAGGCGTCAGAGTGAAAGATGTCCCCCTTCATTCATTGCCATTAGCTTCCCATTAAAGCCACGCCGTTTGAGACCCATTCAGGGTGGTGAAAAGGTGCCCATAGCTGTAATTACGATGTCACAACGCTAGTTTGCACTGTGCCGGTCAGGGGCCACACATTTAGGACGCGACGGACGATTGCTTGTGTTGCGCCCGAAACGTCGTGATTTATTTTATTTTATACCGACGTGACTTTACCGAAAGAACCAAAGAGTATGGATTCCGGCAGTCACGAAAGCTTCAAATCAAGATTTAGGAGGTACTCAAAAATCTGTCAAAATTTGACCCATCCCGCCCTCCCTGTAGGCACGCGGACTTTTTACCCCCCCCCCCACCACCTGCGTACGTACGCCTGACGCACCACCCCCACTCCCCCCCCCACCCCCCCGAATTCTTTAGAACGGCCGATATTTAATCCACGCAGAAACGATCAAGGATTAATAATATTAACGTGTTCACACAAACAGATAGTCCACCGCCGGACTATCTAACTCATTTGAAGGGCAATATAGACAAATTATTATGGAGGCTTCACCCGCTCCCCCCCCCCCCCGTTTCCTATGCGTACATTGTCAGTAGACCCCCCATACGCAAGCTACGCATTTGGGTTAACCTCCCCCCCTCCCCGCGTACGTACTACATGGATGGCCCCTCACGGCCTACACGCTCAAGGCTTTTGTGAGTATCAAAGGGGTTATGTAGTGTGGACTTGAGGGTCACGGGAACAGCATTTGAGTGCTTTGCTGTTTTGTGTCGTATTGTTAATAAATGCCTCACCATTGGGAAGGCCAAAAACATGACAAGGTTTTTCTTCATTAGGGTCCGTCCATAAATGACATTACGCGATTTTGGACGATTTTTGACACCCCCCCCCCCTCCCCCATCGTCACACAGCGTCACAAAAATTCAGACCCCCCCCCACTCAAATATGACGTAACAAAGCTCTGCCCCCCCCAACCCCCCCCCCAAAAAAAATGCTTCAAATCGTTTTAAACTATTGTCATTGTAGTGCGTATTTAATGTGCCGCTGCACTCTGATGTTGTAGGAGAAAACATTTATTAAAAAAGTATTTTTAATTAAGTAGAACGTGTTGTGTATATTTAAAGTTGCGCATTTTGATGTGACGGCACATTTCTCAACCCTTCCCGCTCGTCACACATCGTCACAAATGTCTGACCCCCCCGCCCCCAGGTGTGTGACGTCATTTATGGACGGCCCCTTAGAACACAATATTTTCAGAGGTCACTTACAACAGCCCCACCTAGTGGGCCTGTCACGAGCCGCCACTGGGGTTAGAGTTAGGGTCAGAGTTAGGGGTTGGGATTCGAGTTAAGGTTGGAGTTAAGAGTCAGAGTTGTGGTTGGTCTAGGGTTAGGGGTGCAATGGTTGAACACGCTTGCCACACACAGCGATCCGATTAAAAAAACGATTCAACGCGTTTGACATCTTCGTGAACGGCAGTGCCTCTCGCGCCCGCAGGGGGTTCAGAAGAAAAGTCGCTTCCTGTGCACGCGATGTGACGATTGCGATCGTGCCCTGAAGGACGGACATCAGTCGAGGTGCTGTGACACCACAGGTGTGTACAGTGCACGTAGTGGGTGCATACCCATACGGTCCATGGTTCACGCGTGCGATGAGCTCTGGCCTCACAAGGCACGGGTTCTGCTCGCATGACCACGCGTCCTGCTCGCACACACTACACACAAAGACAAAGATCCCCCGTGCAACCTTTAACAGACTGGGGCAAGAGCTGTTAGCGAGCACCTGTTTAGGTCGGCATGAGGTTTGGGTGAGGCCAGCGCCATGCCCCAGCCAACTTTGTCTCTCCAATACTGATGCTGTACGTGCCGCACTGGGTAATAATTTTTTTAAGGCCGAGTCAATCTTGCGGTGGCACCCGGGACCGATCCTGATTGCATCCGCCACCGATTTTGGCCGTGAGTGGGAAGCCGAACTCAGGTTGCCACCACTCCACACACATTACACACACACCCACGTGACACGCGTGTTACATGCGACGCACACATGACGAGCGCGTTACACACGTGCCGTACGTGCGTAACATACGACGCACACACGTATAACACGTGCGATACGCGCGTGGTGCACATGACACGTGCGTGCTATACACGTGCTACACACGTGGTACACACGTGCATGTTACGCACACATGGTACGCATGCATTACACACGTGTTACATACACACACGTACGTGTATGACACTCATGTTCCACCGCGTGTCAACTCACCACAGGTTGCAGTTGTCGCGGTACCGGCTGCCGGGTGGGAACTTCTGCCCCCCACGCATGCACCCTGGACAGACAGAGAGGGAGGAGAGGCGACAGACGGTGAAGTATGGGGGCGGGGGGGGGCATCAGCAGACACTGACAATCAGCCGGGCTACAGCAACTCTGACTGTGAGTAAGGCTAGCCAACGCTGCCACTGAGAGTGCATAACACCGTGACCCCTGTGCCTCACATTTTCATGCGAACCTTAATACAAATCCCACAATTTTGGGGGAATTATTTTAAGATTATTTTTTTTACATAATCTCCATAAGCGTACAAACTTAACACGCTGACGAAAGCCACCGTAACGTCACTTTTGGCCGGAAGAGATCGCAAATAACATCGTGGAATCGATATCACTTCCTGTGACCTCACATTGTTTGAATCGTCCGAATGTTGCACCTTGACCGACTTTGCTGCACGGCCAGCCAAAAGCCGCTGCGAGGATGCATGACCGCAGTTTCTCGCGATAATTTTATTCTCCTTGACGAGATCGGCAAGGTATCGTGGTTCCACATGTTGGCCTGTTTAATAAACTAAATCATGTAATAACTTAACGCGTCGCCGTGCCAACAAAAGTGACAGTCGCCCGTTGGCGGCAGGCGGCAACGCCACTTTAGGGCCAGAAAGCGTGGCCGTGACGTCGCGGTAGCAATCGGTCGGCCGAATTGTCGCAGAAACACCTTGGCAAGATTTTTATCCCTTTTTTATTTTCTTTTCCGCATTCGTCCTAATGTCGGGAACGCGTCTCGTACGGCGTAACCCGTCGCACGAGCCCGGGATGCTTCGTCAGGGGCCAGCGGGCTCGCCGCTCGCTCGCTGTCGAGTGCAAGTACGCACGCATACACGCACGCGCTCAGTAAAGCGGAGTAGTTCAAACAACGGCAAAGCAAAAAAATGTGAACTATTAGAGCAAAGTCCATTCCCTAAACCCCAAACGATGACAAGGGCGAATGTTGACTGCACGCGTCGCTGCCTTTGGAATCCACCATCCCTTGCTGGGCCCTGTGCACCTCATGGGTATGTGGCAAAATAATAACAAGTTTTACTGTATTTTAAGGTTCGTGACGCACATTTTACCCTGTAGTGTATTTTCAAAGCGTACGTTTGGGTGCGTGTTATCATCCGGTATCAGTGGTCTCTAAACAGCACTTGCCCCAAAACGTCCGTCGAGGCAATAATCTTTGTCTTTGTTTGACCACATTTGTATCACATCGTTGACGCCAGACACAACATTAGGGTGTGTGCTAATTTCCCAGAGCACCTTGTAATCTGACAGGCCTTTCACAATCCACTGCTGTATGATATCACTCGCCACCATGGTCAGCCTTGGCTGGGAATTTAACTCAGGCTGTCGTCAGGTCCAGAGCTCAGTGCTCAAACCGCTGACTTACCACTCGCCGTCAGCGAGCACTTAATCAGAAGGCCGGCATGCTGCAGGAGGTGGCTGGTGGCTGCGGGCACGACCAACCACCACCACCACAGCTTTTGTCTCTCCAGTCCGTTGATGATGTTTAAACACCGTACACCAGGTACTCATTTAAGTAAGTTCTAAGGTAGGCCCGGTTTAGATATCACTCGCCACCGATGTTTGGGAATAAAATTCAAGAACAGCAAACCAAACTAATGAACCATTAATCAACTATTTTTGTTTTACCATGTAAGGCCCACTGAGCTGTATAGCTCTTTTTCAGAAGCCATCTGGCCACAAATGAAAGCTCAACGAAGTGGCTTATCACCATGTGGAAATTTACAGCAGCCAAATACAGTACTCTAAAACTCATGTTTCTAAATGTTGAGGGAAAAACCAGAGGATTCGGAGAAAAATCCACATGACCACGGGAAGAGAGAATATGCAAACTCCACAAACAGCAACCGTCAAGGTCGGGATCGAACCCATGATCTCCTGTATACCAAGCGAGGCAATTAACATCTAGCCACCGTGGCGCCCAAAACTGCAAACCTACAGCACTAATACTTTGCGAAACAGCCCACAGTCGACAGCCAGCTGTTTGCTAAAAGGTTACAAAAAACTGACCGTCTATGAGTCAATCAGGGGTTGATTGGTTGGTCAGTCACACCAGCAAGCGTGAGTCATTTCCGTAGTCAATACAGAGCTGTATAATGACTCATTCTGTCCGGAAAGGGCCAGAGGGGTCTGCGGTATCAATGATGAGCTGGGTACGGACAATGATGTTTGTGACGGAGGTAAGTTAAGTAAAAAAAACAACCCCCTTGGCCTAAACATTTTCAACCAGGCCAATCCTTTGCTGCTGCCGGCTGCTGCTTGCATTGGAAAGGAGGTGCACGAGCACGATTAACATCAACACAAACTCGACGCGTTCGTCAATTACACCGTTTTGCGGCTTAAAAGAATAAAAGTTATATAATAGGCAACGTTTTGTGCAATGGGTCTTCTTCAGAGCAACACAAGTAGAGAGCTCAGATAGACGGAGTGGATAACAAGAGCTGGAGGACCGCACTTTACGCCGTGGGGCCTGATGAGAATTAAATAAAAAAAACATTCCAATTGCCAGTTTTTAAGTAGGCATATGAATATAGTAAGTACCTTACTCGTAGCTATGGATTGTTTGGGCTAACAAGGGATTCAGGTGAGCCATGCAATGGCATCTTATTAGTGATTGTAGTTTCATCATTAGACCTCCTTTGCCAGTACCAAAATGTAATAATAGGGTTTTTCCCCTTTTTTTGGCAACAAAACTGAAACCTTTTTTTTTTGGCGTTATCTGGTCGAGCATCAATTGGGTCGAGGCTCAAAAGAAAGCCGTCCCTTGGTGTGGACCAATCAGTTTCAAGGACAATGCATATATTATCATAGTATGTTTTTTGTTTGCATTTTGACTGCAGATATTGTGGTTAATGCAGACATGAATCCTTGTAAAAAAAGGTTTCAGTTTTGTTGCCAGAAAAAAGAGGAAAAACCCTATGATTGTAGTTTGTATAAATATCCATCCCATCTATGAGGTGGGTTGAATGCTGCTGCCACGTAGCTGTAACGGGGAGCAAACTGGACTTGACATGGGGTCCCTTTTTTGCCAATATCAAAGGATGAAAAATTAGCACATGTTTGTACCCTTTCTGGCAATAAAACAGGAGGTATTAAGATGTTCAAACACCAAATAGATACCTTTGGCAAGGAATCAAGCACTGCATTAACCACACGTACTTGTGGCAAAACATGCAAACATACATTGCTCTGATAATATATGCACCGTCTTTGAAACTGATTGGCCTACACCAGAAACAGAAAGGCTGTACATGTAGTTAATGCAGACTTGATTCCAGTTAACAATGACGGCAATAAATACCCACTGAAGGGAATACTCTAGACCTCCCTCCAAGTGGAGGTCTTTCTGCCAGCTGTGGCGAGAGCAAGCACTTGCAGGGCTGCGCCTTCATCTTTTATAGAGAGAGGCTGGTGAAATTTCATGGTTCAGTTCATATGCCTCCGAATCACCCACCCCACCACCCATAGCCTCGCATTCCACAGAGTACAGTCAACCCATCTCCTCCTAGTTCACGTTAGCTTACAGCACTTCATCAAGCCACTGTGGGGGTTGTTTGACCATACTTCACCATGCCGGCCAGTGCAGATTGGTTGGTAATAGTTGGCTGGGGGAGGTAGGTGGAGGGGGTGCATGACTGGTTCAGATGTCGCTCGCCACTGACGTGGGCCGTGGTCAGGAATCGAACTCAGGTCACCGGGTTCACAGAGGGGTGCGCTAAACACTGCGCCACCACTCCACCCCAACTTGATATGGGGGGTGTTATTGGCAAATGCTGTTCTTATGGGAATGGTACCGAGATAGAGTGTAATTTACCATTGGGAATGGTAGCATTGGCCCAGCGACCCGAGTCTGATACCCAGCCATGTCTCACATCAGTGGCATGCGATCTGTACGGTCCTGGGCTCCCAACCCCACAGTCGTATGGTCAAAAACCCCCGTGACCGACATGGTCTGGGAGGGCATTCATCCATCAGCGGATCGACAAAGGGGCTGTAAATTATTTTACTTACGATCTCGTAAACTATTACACACATCCTCATCACTACTACCACAACCGCCACCACCACTGCACTGCCACCGCACCACCACCAACGTCACTGCCATCGCCACAACTACCCCAAACCCACCAACTTAAACCACCATCACCACCTTCACCACGACCATAGCTGCACACCACCCCTACCACTTCCAATATGGCCACTACCACCACCAGCCACCACCAACGCCACCACCATGGCCACACGATCACCACACCACCGCAACTGCCACTGCCACCGCACCACCAACGCTGCTGGGAGCTTCTTCAGATTACCAACTTCAGTTCCTGAAGGAGCTTCCAGCACCTGGGGCGAAATGTCGGACAGAATGCCGAACGACACGCGAAACAAGCCATTGGATCCCCAGTGCAACGGATCGTGAAGACCGTCCGGACGTTCCGACGGACCGCGCGGACTCCCAAGACGTCGCGATAACGGTGTAGCCGTGGCCAGCGGAGAAGGGGGGGGGGGGGGCGGAAATACCCCAGCACCATCGCCCAGCCCGGCGCTCACCGAGGTCGGGCGTCGGGTACGGGGGAGGCACGCCCAGGCACGACCGCCAGAAGTCGGGGCAGCAGTCGGACACGGTGCGGTTGCAGAAGAGGTCGCAGTAGCAGCGAGAGTCGCGGAAGGGTAGCCAGCACGCGTCGTTCCTCCCTGGGCAGCAACCGCCGAGGGAGGGCAGCGACGGGACGCTGGGCGGGAGGCGGCCGCTGGAGCAGTAGGCCACGCCGCGGGCTGCGTCCTCTCCCAGCGCCACCAGACGCTGCGCCAGCGCGTCGTCCCGCTTGGCGCGGTGGCCGGACGACGGTGAGAGGCGGGACCTCGCGCTCACCCCACCGAGCACTAGCGTCGGCGGCAGCAGGAGGAGCAGGAGGGCGGCGAGGGCGGTGAGGGGACGAGACATGCTTGTGATCTAGCAGAGAGGCAAGATGATAGGCAGAAGGCAGAAGGTTTAGTTTTAATGGCGAGGGGCCAGAGTACAATGTCAACTTTTGACATTATTGCGTAGCGATGTCGCACCTCCGATTAGCGCACTTGGCTACGTACGATGCGAAAGAAGTTCAACATACATACGTACAATGTTGGAGTTAAGATAAATCTTTATATTCTTGGTTCTTTCGGTAAAGTCACGAAAGCTTTAGATCAAAATAAATCGTTATCTTAAACCAAATTTACGACAATGCCACAACGTCGTGGGTTCATCCATAATACAGGTTTTTTTTTACCCAAAAAACCTGTATTATGGATGATATTGGTCGCAAAAGCCTACGCGTTAAACTGTCGTAGGTTCAGCTTAAGATATGATTTGACAATAATTTTTTATCTTAAAACAAACTTACGGCAATGCGGCAATGTCCTAACTTCGGTTAAGGCAAAGATTTCTCTAAAAATTGCAATTAAAAAATCTTATCTTAAACTGAATTTTACGTCAATGCTGCAATGTCCTGAATTTGGTTTAAGGTAATATTTATCGTCGTAACTAATATTTAGCGTCAGAAATAGGAGAGCTATGACATTTCTGAAAAAAGTCCCTTCAATTCAGTTTATGTCGAAGCTCTAAAGGCTAGGAACTTTTTTTCTACTTGCTGAGTCAAAGTCCATAATAAATAGAGGTGCATTTTACCAGGTAAGGCCCACTGAGCTATACAGCTCTTTTTCAGAAGCGACATGGTCACAAATGATTGCTCAACGAAGTCACTTATCAAGTGGAAATTTACAGCAGCCAAAATACTCTAAGCCGGGGGTAGGCAACCGCAATAACAAGGGACATTTTTGTTCGAATTCGGTAAAAAAAATGTTACTATTTCAAGAACCGCAATGCATGCGAGTACGAGATGGAGGCTCTGAAGCTGTAGGTTGCTGATCCCTGCTCTAAGCGCATGTTGATTCTAAATGTGGAGGGAAAAACCGGATTGACCAGGAGAAAAATCCATACGACCACGGAGAGAGAGACACGCAAACTCCAAATATACAGGTGTCAGGGTCAGAATTGAACCCACGACCTCCTGCATACCAGGCAAGGGAGTTAATATCTCGCCACTACGGCACCCTACAGCATAACGCTCCGATCGTTCTGGAAAAGGCTCCCAGCTCATGAAGCCCAATGTCACACATCAACCACGTAGATCAGGGGTGGGGAACCTTTTTTCTGCCAAGGGCCATTTGGATATTAATAACATAGTTTGCGGGCCATACAAAATGATAAACTTAAAAATTAGCCCGTTATATTTGGTCAAACATTTAATTAACTCGCCCCTAATGCGATGGCTGGAACTGCTTCTCTTTGGTGAGGCGTGTGATGATGTGAGCTGGTATTGATGATGTTGCTACTCGCAACTGCTTTTCCAGATTTGCTCCTAGATTTATTGAATTTCGAGTCCCGCCTGCGGTGGCCTTGGCAGGGCCACACCAAATGATTTCGCGGGCCGGACGTTCCCCACCCCTGGCCTAGATGAACACGCTTCTCAGAATCTGTATTTATATTCGAGGAATCCAATGAGTTATGAAGCTCTTTCTTTACAGGTTCCCAGTATGGGCAGGTCTCGCTCACTGCAGGGCCACGGGCGATGATGGTGTTTCACAAGTTGATTTTGTTTAAACCCAGCGGGGGTGAGGACTCAAGGGAGAGACACAGGGACAGGCAGACCCGTTTGCACGAGTCATCCGGGTCGTCACCAAAAATTACAACAGCAAAGCAAAATCAAGTCAGAATCAGAATATGTATTCAACATTTTCACAGATGTCCAGGAACGAGCAGTTAACCCTTTCCCATTCTTCTGACTCTATTCCGAAGACGTACTCGTACGTAAAAACAAAAACATGAAGAAAATAACTTTATCCGTACCGAGGCTCCCACAAGACCACACAAGTGCGGTCGTGTCGCAACAGTTCTCTGCGGGAAAAAAAAACACAGCAGCACAAGCCGAAAGCACCACAGTGCAGAGAAACCCGCGGAGCGCCGACACTCGCCCGCGCGGGACAAAGGCTCACCGCGGACTCTGCCGAGACAACGAAGCAAAGGCGCGCTTCCCCCCCTGGTCTCGCGGAGTGCAGGCAACAGACAATGCCAGGGATGCCGGGCCATTTCACAGTGGGGATCAGGGAGATGCGCAACTTGGGACGGTTCCGAATATAATACGTACTCGACGGCAGCAACGGCAGTGCCCGTGCGGTGCGGTGAGTTGGGGCGTGGTTGGTTGGTGCTGGTGGTGCATTGCTCTCTTGAGCCTCACCGTATCTTCTACCGTAACCTCACCCTACCCCTGACCACACCCGGTTTAGGACTTGCGTGGGGAGACTCCGTGGACATACCCCGGTGTCGTTGTAAGCTTGTGTTGCCAGGTGGCGCCGAGATGGCGGTAAGGTAAAGGCGCAGCCTTGAAATTTGCTTTGCTCACGCCACCGGTGGCGGAAGGGGGCCTTCCCCCCCCCCCCCCCCCCGACCACCCTGCTAGAAGAGGGAGCCCTTCTGGATTTTTTTCTCCGGGTTCTCCAGTTTCGTCCCATACAAGGGAAACAAACTCGAATTTATCACCCACGGGGGCGGGGGGGGGTTAATTCATGGCCAAACGTCCCAAAGTAGCAGGACCCTCCTGCACAGGAGTCTCACGAGTTGGCGAGGCCGTTTCCAGCTAAAACAGAGAGCCTTTGTGTTGTTATTGTTATCATCTTTCTCCCTGGTTTCTTGGCCCCCCCCACACACACACCTTTGTCACCTTCTGTTCTTTTATTTTAACCTTTGTGCAACACCAAGATAATCCGTTCCAGTCCCCACAACTACCACGGTGTGAAACCCACAACCCAAGTGTCTCCCGGAACCCTTGGCGCAACGGCCTAACCACACTTAAACGAGCAACACAAGGTTCACGCCCGATTAGCACGGTGCTCGCTAACAGCACTTGCCCCAACAGTGTGTTAAGGCTATCGGGGAGGGGGGGGAGGAGGTATCTTTGTCTTGTGTGTGTGCGCGCGCCACAATATTTGGCCACATTTGTGTTCCCCGCCGAGTTGTGTAGTCGGTTACTATCCTTGGTTGCGTCTCTGTGTTTGTTCTGTATCTGTCAACCCATGGCACCTGGGTCTGTCCCGTGACCTCCTGCTCGCGGGCGTTCGACACTTCACGTGGGCTTGAAGTGCACGCAGCCTGGCACAAGCGCCGTGGTGACGTCACCGCCACGTAGTGGCGAATGGCGATTGCTGTTGTTGTTGTTGTTGCTTTTCGTGTTCGGTTTGTTGTCCTTCCCTCGCAGGCTCCAATTAGCACGGTTGGCTACGAACGGTGCGAAAGACGTTAAACGTGCACACATACGTAGAACCAAAACTCCACCGAGAACAGACGCGCGCACGCGCACACACACCAAGCGCATTCGCCTCACCTATACCCCACCTGAACCACACCGCCTTAACCACATACCCTTAACCACAGCCCCGTCCACCGGCTGAGCACGTTTTCGGGCAGCACGCACATTTACGGCCCTTCGCCAATCCACCGCTGTGCGAAGGCTTCACACAGTGCTGCGCCGGAAAACGGGGGCTGGTTTGACCATACAGCCCCTCCACCCTCCCCCCCCCCCCCCCAATGCTGGACAGCAGCACGCCTCGCCTCTCCGATCTTGCTAAAGGGTTAACTCGCACATGACCGTGACCGTGAGCGCACCGTGACCGCCACCTGAACTGCACATCAACCGCGATTTAGTCCACCACCTCGAGTCTCTGTTTGCAGTGCACGCCGTGCTGTTCACCCTTAACCGCGCCTGATCCACGGTCATTCACCATCCTCACGTCTCCTTAACCATACTTCACCGTCACCCGGAGTTTAATCTCCCGCTTGGATTGGAGAAGGTATCATCGGAGTAAGACACTCACTCCCACGAAAGTACAATAAATCATGCTACAATCAGTGTATATCATATGCCTATAATCCTATGAACAGGTTTATGGGAAAATATATTTTGATTTAAAGCTTTCGTGACCGCAGTAATTCATTGTTTCCCTTCAACGTGACTTTACCGAAAGAGCTAAGAATATGGGAAAATATATGTTGAACTTATTTTGCACCGTACGTATCCAACCACGCAAAACAGAGGTATCGTACAAAACCGTAGGATTATATAACACGTGCAATGTTATTTAACGCACTGGACTCTTACTTAATCACCCTTTAACCACGCGTATGAATTAGCATGCGTTACGTTTCTGAATCTCACCTCCAAGCGAATATTAATCACAACTAATTATACTGTACTCATTTAAAGAGTACTAACTACACTTTAACCGCACCTTAACCACACTGTAAATCGGACATCGATCACCACCTTAACCACAACTTAACCACGCTTGAAATGGGACATAGCACCTTAAATCAGACTCAAAGTACATCTTTAACCACACCTTAACCACACTTCAACCACAACCCCCCTAAGGCGGGCATTAACATGACCGTACAACTCGTGCAAAAAACAAACTCTCATACAGTAGTCTGTTCTCCCGTAACGCGCGTTTTCCCAACCCGATCAATGTATTAGGGAACACATTTTTTTCTACGCATCCATATAACGCTGTTGCGAATTGGATATAACGCGATCGAGTGATCCCCAACGCAATGCATTGGGGATGCTGCTGGATGCTTCCAGAAGCTACCCACGCGCCTCAGGCTTTGTTCAGCCTGCGTACGCACCTCACGCGTTATCGCGGACTGTGCTTTACCCACTATATTAAATATTACTTACTATTTACAACGCTTTTTTTCATGAAACGGTGTTCTTCAGGAACGCAAATACCGTGTTATAGGAGAACAGGCTGTAGTTTATCCATAATACAGGTGTTTTTTTGGGTTAAATAATGTAAATATATAAATGTGTCGTTAAACCCGCCACCAGCCGACACAGCCAATTAGTAATGTTTGTCACGTAAACAGAACGTGCCAATTCGTTACTATACTCTGGTTCTTTCGGTAAAGTCACGTAGGTAGAGAAAATGAAAATAAAATAAAAGATAAATTATCTTTTATTTGATTTTTATTTTCTTTCCCTACGTGACTTTACCTAAAGAACCAGAGTATGGATCCTTGCAGTCACGAAAACCTCAAATCTAGAATTCGTTACTAGTACAGCAACACCGGTGTTGTTGGAGAGCAAAGCCACAACATTTACGATCTGAGTATGCGACGACGTTTCGTCCAGCAATTTACAACGAGCGTCATCAGGTGACAGCCAGATTTGTGGTGGAATCCTCCTGGCTGTAGTTTCAGGCTGCCACTTTTGCGGCGCTGCAGACAGCAGCAGCAGCAGCAAGGGAGGGCTTGCTGGCGGACGCCGCACAATGCATTGGGATACTGCTGGATGCTTCTAGATGCTACACTCACGCGCCTCCACATCTTTTTTTTTATTTTACACGCTTTTGTTTATCTCACTCTGTCTGTTGTTGTTGTCGTATCCTCAAATCTTGTAACTCAATTATAACCCACTTCCCAATGTGGTATCGACTGCAAACTTGGTATACTTATGTCATACTGATGACAATGCTATATTCTATCATTACAAAAATAAATGAAATATTTTTAAACCATCTTTTTTAATGTTATGTTTCGGCTTGGGTCTAATTGTCCACGCTCAACTGACGTTGGCTGTAAATCACCACGGTCCCCTTACGCTGTGGCCAAGCTTCGGGGACACTTTCTACATTTCATTAAAGCGCGTTTTTAAAAAAGCATTTTTTTAAATATGACTTATTTGTTAAGGCCTGCTCCGTCCGCATCATCTCACTCGCGCTATCGCGAACTGCGTTTGTACCCCGATATGAAATATTCTTCATCCTAACGCGATTTTTATTTTCCCTTTCCACAACGCGGTGTCGTACAGGAACGCAACTCTCGCGTTATACGAGAAGAGGCTGTACTGTGCTTGTGTGTTTAAACCACCCCTTGAACCGAGATTGCACTATCATGGACCACATTCGATACTCATCCTAACCAAACACATTAACCACGGGACACAACACAACGCTAAGCCTCTCCAAAGCGCACGTTAGCCACTTTTTTTTTAAACCACACGAAAGCCCCGAAGATTAACCGCGCTGCATTCGCCACGCAAATTAAAACACTAATCCACGTTAACCACACACTATATACACCACACTTGAATTGTACACTCACTGCATCCTCACCTCCACACACCATGCACTCACCCTCATAGTCACCACACCCCGTACCCCACACACTCACCCAGACAACTCACCACAACACACTGTACCCTCACCTCACACTCACCACAGTCTACCTTCACCTCACCACAGTCTACCTCACCACAGTCTACCTTCACCTCACCACACTCCACCTCACCACAGTCTACCTCACCACACTCCACCTCACCACAGTCTACCTTCACCTCACCCTCACCACAGGCTCCCTTCACCTCACCACAGTCTACCTTCACCTCACCAGTCAACCTTCACCTCACCACAGTCTACCTCACCACAGTCTACCTCACCACACTCCACCTTCACCTCACCACAGTCTACCTTCACCACAGTCTACCTCACCTCACCACAGTCTACCTTCACCTCACCACAGTCTACCTCACCAGTCTACCTCACCACAGTCTACCTTCACCTCACCACAGTCTACCTTTACCTCACCACAGTCTACCTTCACCTCACCACAGTCTACCTCACCAGTCTACCTCACCACAGTCTACCTCACCTCACCACAGTCTACCTTTACCTCACCACAGTCTACCTCACCACACTCCACCTCACCAGTCTACCTTCACCTCACCACAGTCTACCCTCACCTCACCACAGTCTACCTTCACCTCACCACAGTCTACCTTCACCTCACCACACTCCACCTTCACCTCACCACAGTCTACCTCACCACAGTCTACCTTCACCTCACCACAGTCTACCTCTACCTCACCACAGTCTACCTTCACCTCACCACAGTCTACCTCTACCTCACCACAGTCTACCTTCACCTCACCACACTTCACCTCACCAGTCTACCTTCACCACACTCCACCTCACCACAGTCTACCTCACCTCACCACAGTCTACCTTCACCTCACCACAGTCTACCTTCACCTCACCACAGTCTACCTCACCACACTCTACCTCTACCTCACCACAGTCTACCTTCACCTCACCACAGTCTACCCTCACCTCACCACAGTCTACCTCACCTCACCACAGTCTACCTTCACCTCACCACAGTCTACCTCACCACACTCTACCTCTACCTCACCACAGTCTACCTTCACCTCACCACAGTCTACCCTCACCTCACCACAGTCTACCTCACCTCACCACAGTCTACCTCACCTCACCACAGTCTACCTCACCACACTCTACCTTCACCTCACCACAGTCTACCTCACCACACTCTACCTTCACCTCACCACAGTCTACCTTCACCTCACCACAGTCTACCTTTACCTCACCACACTTCACCTCACCACACTCTACCTTCACCTCACCACAGTCTACCTTCACCTCACCACAGTCTACCTTCACCTCACCACAGTCTACCTTCACCACACTCCACCTTCACCTCACCACAGTCTACCTCACCTCACCACAGTCTACCTTCACCTCACCACAGTCTACCTCACCTCACCACAGTCTACCCTCACCTCACCACAGTCTACCCTCACCTCACCACAGTCTACCTCTACCTCACCACAGTCTACCTTCACCTCACCACACTTCACCTCACCAGTCTACCTTCACCACACTCCACCTCACCACAGTCTACCTCACCTCACCACAGTCTACCTTCACCTCACCACAGTCTACCTCACCACACTCTACCTCTACCTCACCACAGTCTACCTTCACCTCACCACAGTCTACCCTCACCTCACCACAGTCTACCTCACCTCACCACAGTCTACCTCACCACACTCTACCTTCACCTCACCACAGTCTACCTCACCACACTCTACCTTCACCTCACCACAGTCTACCTTCCCCTCACCACAGTCTACCTTTACCTCACCACACTTCACCTCACCACACTCTACCTTCACCTCACCACAGTCTACCTTCACCTCACCACACTTCACCTCACCACAGTCTACCTTCACCTCACCACAGTCTACCTTCACCTCACCACACTCTACCTTCACCTCACCACAGTCTACCTCACCACAGTCTACCTCACCTCACCACACTCTACCTCACCTCACCACAGTCTACCTTCACCTCACCACAGTCTACCTTCACCTCACCACAGTCTACCACACCACAACCTCACCACAGTCTACATTCACCTCACCACAGTCTACCTCACCTCACCACAGTCTACCTCACCACACTCTACCTTCACCTCACCACAGTCTACCTCAACACACCCTACCTCACCTCACCACACTCTACCTCACCTCACCACACTCTACCTTCACCTCACCACAGTCTACCTTCACCTCACCACAGTCTACCTTCACCTCACCACAGTCTACCTTCACCTCACCACAGTCTACCTTCACCACACCACACTCTACCTTCACCTCACCACAGTCTACCTTCACCTCACCACAGTCTACCTTCACCTCACCACAGTCTACCTTCACCACACCACACTCTACCTTCACCTCACCACAGTCTACCACACCACAACCTCACCACAGTCCACCTTCACCTCACCACAGTCTACCTCACCACAGTCTACCTCACCTCACCACAGTCTACCACACCACAGTCTACCACACCACAGTCTACCTCACTACAGTCTACCCTCACCTCACCTCACCACAGTCTACCACACCACAACCTCACCTTGCTCTCACCTGGAACAGCGGGAGACGTCCGCCCGCGGCTAAAACAGAAGTGAGAGGGAGGGGAGAGGGAGGGGGGAGTGGGAGGGGGGCGGGGGGAGGGGAGAGGGAGGGGGGAGGGGAGAGGGAGGGGGGAGGGTGGGAAGGTGGGAGGGACTCACGTCACAGGTTCAATGCACTGACAAGTACTCTCACTGACACTCTCACTAATACTCTCACACATACAACCACTGACACTCTCACACATACAACCCCTGATACTCTCGCTGACACTCTCACTGATACTCTCACTGATACTGTCACTGATACTCTCACTGATACTCTCACACATACAACCACTGATACTCTCACTGACACTCTCACTGATACTCTCACTGACACTCTCACTGATACTCTCACTGATACTCTCACACATACAACCACTGATACTCTCACTGACACTCTCACTGACACTCTCACTGATACTCTCACACATACAACCACTGACACTCTCACTGATACTCTCACTGATACTCTCACTGACACTCTCACTGATACTCTCACTGATACTCTCACACATACAACCACTGATACTCTCACTGACACTCTCACTGATACTCTCACTGACACTCTCACTGATACTCTCACTGATACTCTCACACATACAACCACTGATACTCTCATTGATACTCTAACTGGTACTCTCACTGACACTCTCACTGATACTCTCACACATACAACCACTGATACTCTCACACATACAACCACTGACACTCTCACTGATACTCTCACTGATACTCTCACACATACAACCACTAGTACTGTCACACATACTCTCACTGATACTGTCACTGATACTCTCACACATACAACCACTGACACTCTCACTGATACTGTCACTGACACTCTCACTGACACTCTCACTGATACTCTCACTGATACTCTCACTGATACTCTCACTGACACTCTCATTAATACTCTCACTGATACGCTCACAGATTGGCACGTACGTATTACGAATGTAATGGACGTAAGCCTCCAACATATTTTCTTGTGTCTCAGTTAAAGGGTGAAAGCGCAGCCCTGCGATGTCCCGCTCACGCCACTGCTGGTGGAAGGGGCCTCCCACACTACTCGAGGGATGTATTTGGCCTACTCTTCCACCAGACGTGTTGGAGAAGTCGGGTGTACCGACACTTCACCCCACCACATGCGACCTCTTGCTATGATGTCCATTCGCTTCTTTGGCTCGATAGTATCCAGTATTTTACTTGATTCGCTTCTGGAACTTCTTTGTAAACGAGACTCCGAAACTTTTTGGTTCTTTCGGTAAAGTCACGTAGGTAGAAAAATAAAAATAACAAAAAAATCGGTAAAGTCGCGTAGTAAGAAAAATTAAAAAATATATATATATCTTTTTCTACCTACCACGTGACTTTAGCGAAAGAACCAAAGAGTATGGATTCCTGCAGTCACGAAAGCTTCAAATCAAGATTGAGACTCCTCCTATGCCAATCTCTTGAGCTTCTCACCCTGGTTGAACAGAATACACTTTTGGAAATCGTCAGTAGCCTTGTGCTGCGTTGTTCCCGTCTCTGCTGTCGAGTGGACCATCGACCCCATCATCAGAAACATCATCAACAGGCCAATGCACACCGTCTCCTATCATTCATTGAAAAATTAAAGGGCACAAGACACATTTGTGCGATTGTGGCCATGCAAGCCCAAGCTATGGACTCATATAGTAAAACCGCAGAGATCCAAAAGAGATATATAGAGGCAAATAGATACGTTGAGGACAATATACAGTAGTGCAGTTGTGACGGTGGGTATACCATTGAACGCAATAGTTGAGTATAATTATAACACGAGTTACTCATTGTTTTTTTTCGGTAAAGTCACGTATGGTATTTCTACACACGTGACTTTACCGAAAAAACCAATGAGTAATTTATGCCGTCACGAAAGCTTTAATTCTTTATTATAACACGAGTTGTCGTGTTTGCATCACCATTTGTTTGTTAGACAAGTGTTTTCATTGAAATGAACACGGCACCACGGCCAGGGGTCTAACTTGACTTGGAGAGCTGCGCAACAATGAGAACCCTGTAGGAAGGCCTTGAGGTTGGCTCACCACGTGCCGGAGACGTCACCTTACTCCAGCTGCACATTGCACTGATCAGCTGCGCTATACTACGCGTGGGAGACGAGGCCAAACACACAAACGACCTTTATCTCTGGAGGAGGAGGATTGCTTGATGGCCAGGCTGCGAAGGTCCACGGTGGCGAGATGTTAACTACCTTGCCTGGTATACAGGTGGTCGTGGGTTTGATCCTGACCCTCTCTCCCCGTGTATCTCTCCTCGTGGTCGTGTGGATTTGTCTCGGGGTCCTCTGTTTCCCCCCCCCCCCTCCCCCCTCCACATTTAGAATCAAAATCACGCGTTTTGGGTATTTGGTTGCTATAAATTTTCACGTGATACGCTACTTCGTTGAGCGATCGTTTGTGGCCAGGTCACTTCTGAAAAAGAGCTGTATAGCTCAGTGGGCCTTGCCTGGCAAACTAAATATTTAATAAGTTAAAAAAATGGCAAGGTCTCCATTATCTCACATCAGGGAGAGAGGGGGCACTCCTTTCTCTCATGGGAAGGAAAGATCGGGATAAGAAATGAAGCAAATAATGTGCATACATTGGTCAATTCATGATGCTAGTGCAGCAATCCTCCGTTTTACGTCGGGGATGCGTTGCTGAAAGGTGAGACGACAACGGATATCGAAACGACGTAAATCGAAGCGAATCACAGTGTAGTGGTGGGTGGTGGTGGTGGTGGTGGTGGAGAGGGGCTGAAGAGGCGACGGAGAACGAGAAAGGACGGACGATGCCATCAGCGACGTAAGTTGTAGCGACGCAAATCGGGTGGCGGTGTTAATAACGTGACAACGTATTTGCGAATCGACGTAAATTGAAGCGAATCACAGGGTCGTGGTGGGTGGTGGTGATGGTGGTGGTGGAGGCGAAGGGCTGAGAGGCCACGGATAACGAAAAAGGGCGGACGATCCTGCTGTCAGCGGCGTGCTGTGCAGCAACAGTAATATTAGACTGCGATGACTGTAACAAGTAGCTCGTGGGACAGCAACACGCCCGATGGACGTCTCCCACCCTTTGCGTCTTTTCGCCAAAGACGTCGTCACTTTATTAACACCACGACTTGATTTGCGTCGCCTCAACCCCACGCTTGCTGACAGCTCATCGGATTCCTCCAGTCTAAATAAAGAATGTGATTCTGATAGTCTATGGGCAATGTTAGTCTATGGGCAATGTTAGTCTATGGGCAATGTGGGTCTATGGGCAATGTTAGTCTATGGGCAATGTTAGTCTATGGGCAATGTGGGTCTATGGGCAATCTTAGTCTATGTGCAATGTGAGTCTATGTGCAATGTTAGTCTATGGTGCAATGTTAGTATATAGTGCAATGTTAGTCTATGTGCAATGTGAGTCTATGTGCAATGTGATGCTATGTGCAATATTAATCTATGGGCAATGTTAGTATATGGGCAATGTTAGTCTGAGCAATGTCAGTCTATGGGCAATGTTAGTCTATGAGCAATGTTAGAATATGGGAAATGTTAGTCTATGGGCAATGTTAATCTATGGGCAATGTTAGTATATTGGCAATGTTAGTCTATGAGCAATGTTAGTCTATGGGCAATGTTAGTCTATGAGCAATGTTAGTCTATGAGCAATGTTAGAATATGGGAAATGTTAGTCTATGGGCAATGTTAATCTATGGAAAATGTTAGTCTATGGGCAATGTTAGTCTATGATCAATGTTAATCTATGGGCAATGTTAGTCTATGAGCAATGTTAGTATATGGGAAATGTTAGTCTATGAGCAATGTTAGTATATGAGCAATATTAGTCTATGGGCAATGTTAGTCTATGAGCAATGTTAGTATATGAGCAATGTTAGTCTATGGGCAATGTTAGTCTATGGGCAATGTTAGTCTATGAGCAATGTTAAGCTATGGGCAATGTGAGTCTATGAGCAATGTTAGTATATGAGCAATGTTAGTCTATGGGCAATGTTAGTCTATGGGCAATGTGAGTCTATGTGCAATGTTAGTCTATGGGCAATGTTAGTATATGTGCAATGTGAGTCTATGTGCAATGTTAGTCTATGTGCAATGTTAGTCTATGTGCAATGTTAGTCTATGAGCAATGTTAGTATATGGGCAATGTTAGTCTATGGGTAATGTTAGTCTATGGGCAATGTTAGTCTATGAGCAATGTTAGTCTATGAGCAATGTTAGTCTATGGGCAATGTGAGTCTATGCGCAATGTTAGTCTATGGGCAATGTTAGTATATGGGCAATGTTAGTATATGGGGAATGTTAGTCTATGGGCAATGTTAGTATATGAACAATGTTAGTCTATGGGCAATGTTAGTCTATGGGCAATGTGAGTCTATGGGCAATGTTAGTCTATGGGCAATGTTAGTCTATGAGCAATGTTAGTCTATGGGCAATGTTAGTATATGGGCAATGTTAGTATATGGGGAATGTTAGTCTATGGGCAATGTTAGTATATGGGCAATGTTAGTCTATGAGCAATGTTAGTCTATGGGCAATGTGAGTCTATGGGCAATGTTAGTCTATGGGCAATGTTAGTATATGGGCAATGTTAGTATATGGGGAATGTTAGTCTATGGGCAATGTTAGCCTATGAGCAATGTTAGTCTATGGGCAATGTTAGTATATGGGCAATGTTAGTATATGGAGAATGTTAGTCTATGGGCAATGTTAGTATATGGGCAATGTTAGTCTATAACAGGGGTGGGGAATGTGCGGCCCGCGGGCCATATAAGGCCATCATTTGGTGTGGCCCTGCCAAGGTAACCGCAGGCGGGACTCGAAATTTAATAAATCTAGGAGCAAACCTGGAAAAGCAGTTGAGAGTAGCAACATCATCAATACCAACTAACATCGTCAATACCAGCTAACATCATCACACGCCTCACCAAAGAGAAGCAGTTCCAGCCATCACATTAGGGGCGAGTTAATTAAATGTTTGACCAAATATAACAGGCAAATTTTTAAGTTGATAA